GTGTGTTATGTTATGTGTTAGTGACAGTAGGGGGAGATAGTCCCCCCCAGAATACCGGTCGATAGGGCCGAAAGGGCGGTCATGCCCAGCCATGCTAGATAGACTATGTGATATATGTGTTATGTGGTAGTAGTAGGGGGTGAAATAGTCCCCAGTATCTGGTCGAGAGGACCGAAGGGGAGGCCAGCACCCAGATATGCTAGGCAGTATCCGGTCGAGAGGATCGAATGGGAGGTCAGCACCCAGATATGCTAGGCAGTATCCGGTCGAGAGGACCGAAGGGGTAGGTCGGGCACCCAGATATGCCTGGCAATTTACGTATGTTATGTGATTATGTGGTATGTGGTACAGTGGGGGAACTCACTAAGCTTTGTGCTTACGTTTTACAGTTTTGGTTTCAGGTACCTCTTCTTTGAAGGGGAAGGAGCTGGCGCAGTAGCGGCACATCATGCACACACTCTGGTTTCTGCATTTACGAGATTCACTGGGATTCGTACTCTGATATTTTGATGGGTTGTATGGTTTGGCTTTTTTGAACATGGTTTACGTTGTGTTATTGTGTGATCAAACAATGTTTTTAATTGTTAATGTTTTCTAAAGTAATGTTTTAAAACAAAATTTTCGGACGTGAAAATTGGGTCGTTACATTTGGTGTCGGGTATTTCATATTACTAAAATATTAAGTTTTATACCATCCGGTGTCGAGTATTTTAGTATACTAAATCTCAATCTATCCTTCTGGAACTAAGCTTTATACCCTCCAGTGTTGGATATTTCAAGATACTGAAATGTCAAAGCTTTATACCCTCCAATATCAGGTATTCCATTATAATCCAACTCTGAAAAATTATAGACCTTTAGGGGTGCTGCCCTAAACCATGTGAGGGTGTTTTGCCTTGACACCACCCACTGACAGATCAACGAGATCATTGCTAAGGGCACGTGTAATTTATATATTTCAAAAAATTCATTGTTGGTTTGGGTTAAATAATACGTTATTTTTATAGTTGAAAGTAAAAGTATATTTGTTTTGGGTTAAACATAAATTTACATTGATCTTCTAATTCTAGCTTTCTTTTCTTAATAATTTAAGATATATAATTTTATTTCTATCATCTTCCCAACGAAAAGTTAAATATCCTTTTATATTTTATTCCTACTCATTATCTTACCATATCAAATGTTGATATGTGAAATAAAATATTATCAATTGATATTGATATGTGGAATAAAATATTATCAATTTTATTAAAATTTCTCTCTTCCTACACATTTAAGAATGTGACACTTGTCATTTTTAATAAAATTAATAATTTTTTTATTATACTTTTAATTCCTCCCCAAGTACATGCAAATTAGTAAGTCTTGTTTGTAATTTCAATTTTTTAATTCTTATAACTTTGTTTATTATAGATTTTCAAAAAATCCATATTCATAGTGCTTAATATTGTATAAATTTTGAATGGAATAATTATAACAAGTGGAATTTTTCGAAAAATTCTATGAAATTACATTAATTTTGTTGGATATCATATAAGATCACCCAAGATCTCTTTAGATTAAAAAAAAAATCACCCAAGATAAATTATCTCACATAAATGAATCAAATCAAATAATGCAATTTACGGTTAATACAATCACATAGAAACCAATTAAACAAGAACTAGACCATTATTGATTATTTGTTAGATTTCTTTTCAGATCTCTTCATCCATGCAAGGGTGAGAATTGACTTCATCGCCCCTTTACCCTTCACAAACTTTTCTTTTAATTTCTTGTTCTTGTTGTTACGTGGAGGATCTTGCACTGAATCCCATTGATCAGCCCATGAGGTTCCCTTTGAGCTGAAAACTTCCATTTTTCGGTTTCTTCTTTTTTACCTCTTCTTTCTTATGTGACAAAATTGTATGATTTGATGCAATTATTTTAGGATAATAATTTGAATTTGTGGTTAAAAATCGTAAAAAAGAAACTACAGTCATTCAATTCTTGGTTATTATGGATTGATAGATTTTGACCTGTTATTTGGTCAAACTTATTAGGTCAACGTCGGGTCAAAGTTTAAGATCTAAATACATGGCAGGCCTCCAAATACTATGGCATATTTTTAGCGATAAAGTTCTTCGGGCATCCATGTGGATGATGCATAAGGGAAAACAAATAAAATAGAAAACTAAATGATAATAACTAAAAGACTATGTTTTTGGAAGGAATAAAATAAAACAAAATATTTGGAATATGAAAATATTGTAAAGGTTTTGAATCTGATTTGACCATGTGTTTGGTTTGCAAGGATTGGAGTGGAGTTCAATTCCATACGTATGTAATTTTCAAATTGGTTTGTATAGGTTTGAAATTTAAATGTAAATTACGTAAGATCACTTTTTATTGATTATTTTCTGATTTTCTGATTGGTTTATATATAATTAAAAGTGCTAATTATATAAAAGTCATTATTATATTTTGTTGTTTTTATTTTAATTATTATATCTTTTACTAATAAAGCCGTCATATTTAGCAGGTTATCATAATGAATTGATATATATATATATATATATATATATATATATATATATATATATATATATATATATATATATATATATATATATATATATATATATATATATATATATATATATATTTATGTTAAAATAATCCAAATTAGCAAAAGAAATTGATATGACCATAATAATAAGTTTTTTTTTTGAAATTTTTTTTTATTTATTTTTTTTGTTTAATATGCGTAACTTTTTTTGTTAGAAAAAGTATTAATATTAGTAGACTTGTTAAAGACGGTATAATTTTGCCTTTTTCTTTTTCCTATTTTCCTTTTTTATTAGGAAATATGTGTAATACCCGTGTATTACATTAAAATAAATACTATTAAATAACAAAGGGTAAACAATAAGTATTTTTTAAAATAAAATTTCGAAATAAGAAATAAAGAAAATTATTAATTGCAATTGACTATCACATTTATTACATTTCATAATTTACATATATAAGTATAACTATTATGTAGGCTTTTTAATTTTAAATCTTGAAAAAAATCAGAAATTGATATGTGGATATTATTTATTTTAAAATTGGGATTTTCTAATATGTGCCTTAACGGCACATATAATAAGTATTAATTAATCACAATTATTATGATAATTAAATGTTAATTACCATAATTAAATGTGAAATGTATCAATTATAGAGATTATTAATGAATTTTATATTTAATTATGGTAATATTTCTTATAATTAATATGTTTAACATTTAATTATGATAATAATTATGAATGTGCCCTTACGGCACATATTAGAAAATCCCTTTAAAAATATCATAAAATGATAAATATCAAAAACTCATAAGAGATTGACATATAGCAAAATGGATCTTCATTTATTATAATAGATTGTTAATTTGTTCTCATGATAACAGTTCTAATTTAACAAATTTGATCTATAATACCATTTCCTAGGGTTTTTTTTAGCTTGTGTGACATTTTTTTCTATAACTTAAAACTAGATTTGTTTTTTAGATGAATTGGTATTTGACAATAATCTTTTTTAATTTTTTTAAGAGTGATACTCATCTCAAAATAAATACAATAAAATCCTTCATTTGTTTTTTCCTCTTTTCCATCACCCTTGATGTATAAATTCAGACGAATTGCAAGCACCATATCATATGTATTTCATTAGGCATTGACTTTTTGACTGGAAAACCAAACCAGCGGTTTAAAGTCTCTCTTTGGTGGTACCGTTTCTCCTTGGATCCGTAAACCAGCTATGAACCCACCGGAAAAACACAGCCGACTCTCTCCACTCATAGTGATATAAATGTAAAAGATTAATAAGGTTAATCTTATGTTATAAATGCATTGGTGCTTGGAATACTTGTACCTAATGTCATAACTCATAAGAATAGGTAAAAGTATGTAGACATGATGTACAAGTTGTTCAAGCATGCAAGGGAACAAAGAACTGGATTATGCAATCTAAGAATGCACAATATTATTGAAACATTAAACACGTGTATAACCAACCAATAATGAATAGTAGTACAATGCTATCATAGAAATAGGGAAAATGACTTAAAAGCCCAACGAAGTTTTCAAACCATTTAAAAAAACCCAATCATGTTTTGTCTGTTCAAAAAAACCCAACGAATTTAACATTTTGTCTAAAAAGTCCAACAAAGTTCTAAACCGTTCAAAACATCCTAATTTTGTTTTGTTTAAGTTCGTTAGGTTTTTGTTTAACAGTCAAAACATGATTGGAGTTTTTTAAACGTTTTGGAAACTTCGTTGGTCTAACAAGTCATTTTTCCGACACGGTAATAAGCCACGTCTCTTATTTGACTTTCAGGAAAGTGTAACTTAGTTGGGGTTTTTAGAAAAAATGTTAAGTTTGTTGGGTATTTTTGAACAGACAAAACATCATTGGGGTTTTTTGAACGGTTTGAAAACTTCGTTGGGCTCGTAAGTCATTTTCCCCATAGAAATACGTGCGCAAGAAGCTGGAAAAACGGAAAATAGATTGCTAGTATGGAAAGATGGATTACCAATTGTAGGTATGGTGCTTTGTATTGAGGATGTTTATAAAATGTTTGGCTTAGAAAGAATGATGTACAAATTAAAAGAATGTCGACATTATTAAAAGTAGATTTTGATTAAAGAAAAATAAAAGTTATGTGACTGATTAACCAAATATGATGGAAAAGAGTTAAAAATTCAAATTATGGTATAACCACTAAATGAAAGGAATAACAACATTGTTTTTATAAGACTGTTGTACTTTAAAGAATCTAACCATTACACCATTGTACTTTCAAATTTTAATTTCTTATTACGGCATTATTTGAAAAATCTATCAAATGTTTCGCAATTCATGACATTACTATTAATTGGTCATATTTTTTAAAGTACAAACAGAAAAAAAAAAATAGAAAGAAAAGAAAGTAGAACATTATAATAAACCAATCAATCAAAATACATTGCTTAACATTATCTGAAAAACTCAACATGTCCTGCAATTTCTCGACATAAAAGCTTCGATTCATTTGCCAACTCTATGCTCTTATGGATCACAAATCCCGTTTCTTTATGTATCGACATTGGTTTAAATTTCTTAACTTCCTCCACATTTCCCATAACCAAAACTTCTCTAGCGGGGACCACATGTTCCCACCAAAATTCCCGTAAAATCCCACGAATCAAAATCCAATATTCTTGATTCCTACAAACACGAAATATCGTACTCCCATTTGGTGTCCAACAATACAAATCGACCCAATCTCTATCCATAACTTCCATTTGACCTTGAATTTGAGGCATATAATAAAAGGGCATTTTCGTCCAAGGTAAAGCTAACTCCGGTTTCCCTTTATTAAACGGACACTTGACTTCAAGAATCCCTAAATTAGGGGCAACCCCAAGAAGCCCATCTGGGGATGCCCCAATCCAATTGTAGTTGTCATCCGAATGCGTTGCAAATCCCAATGAAGTTACTTCACGATTTGTTATGGTTTTATATTTCTCAATTGCTGCTGGCTCATTGTATACACCCCATTCCATGGCGCATGTGATTGTAGCCTTCGAGTCTATAGGGAAGACTTTTTTCGTGCCATAGCTCATACCTTTTGTTGCCTTTCCAGAAACCAAGGGCAGTGCTGAAGGTGCTTGTGGTTAATTTGTCCCTTCGAAGGGCAAACCATTCTTCTGAACGTTGGGCTGGGGAGAGTTGACTAGTCAAAGTCAAAGTCAATGGGTTTAGAAGGTCAACTTGAAAGTTCTTTCGTTTTGGTAGGTGAATTGATGGTGTTTTATGGTGGATATTGCGGAGAGTAATGAAGCAAGAATTGGTCATTGCTAAAGCCTACAAATGGAAGAATGATGTTATAGGTAAATAAGAAAAAGAACTCATTATTGAATTTTGTGAAAAATTAATTTTTTTTTTTCACATCGCACGTTTGAAACACTCCCTTTGCATTTATGTGTAAAGGTTTTTTGACTTCAATTGCAAAACTATAATTCATTCATATATCAAGTAAAATGGTCGATGTATCAATTATCATCATTTCATCTTGTTAATTTTACTAAAAAAAAACAACTAAAAGTAGCAAAAGAACATTTAGGCCACACATAGAGGCAGAAAATGAGAAGTTATTCAAGATAGATCTACAAATAGCTACATTACAAGTAAAAAAGCTTAATTTATGCGAATGAATACCGAAAAAGATAACAAATTACAAAACTGAAATAATTTCCTGTTAATTGTTTACACTTATAGGAAGTACTGAAATGAGGATATATGACGAAAACCCATGAAAAATATATGAAATTACTAGGAAATCGGGACTCATATGGCGTTTTTAACAAGGTATGTAAAGCAGAATTGCGTCGCTAACCTGTAGTTATTGCCCATTGCCGATTTCAGTGTTCAATTTGTTCAGCCACTGTTTATCTGGAGTTGCATCATTGTAGGGTTTGTTATGAATTTTGTTGGATAAAGAATATGAGTGAGTCGATAAGAGGGTAAACTCGTATATTCGTTAATATCATTTTTCAGAGTTAACGACAAAAAGAGAGGAAATGTATTGAAGCAAGTAGAAAGTAAAAGAAATAGAAAAGAAAGGAAATAATAGAAAGTGAAAGAAATAGATATTCTGAGTTTTATTAAAGAAAGAAGCTTAAAGAAATAGAAATTCTGAGTTTTATAAAAGAAATGCTTATTATTATGAGTTTTATTAAAGAAGGAAGCGTAAAGAAAAGAAAGGAGAAATCATTTTCTCTTCTAACTTCTTTAATAATTTTGGAGTGATTTAAAAAGCAATAAACAAAATGTTTAATTTTTTTTTTTTAATTCTTTTTTAATTTGAAAACAGAAAATACAATTTTTTTTTTCTTTCTCTTCTCTTCTTTTCTTATATTCCTTTCCATTTTTGTTTCTTTGCTTAAAACTCATAAACTAGACGAAAATCCATTTGCTTGTTAGTTTATACAAGTTTTCTATTAAATACTTAGTGTAAATTACCAAAGGCGGTATCGAGTGTTGCTCTTATTTTTTGAGATCGATGGTTCAAATCTTGTTAGGAACATATGAGAATTTAAGAGTAGTTTATAGGAGTTGAGTAGATTTGTCGTTCAAAAATAAATAATTGGGGTACATTACATCAATCTTCCATCGTTCATATATCAAAACACACGTTTAGTCTCTATTTTTAAAAATCAATTCGGACCGTCTCTGAGTTTGTTTTTTCTTGCACATTTAATCCCTATTGATATGAAATGACCAGTTTCTCCTTAACATTTTTTTTTCATTTTCTATTTTTTTATTAGTTTAAAAAATAAAAAAATAAAAAAATAAAACAATTATCCTCACTACCACGTGTACCCTATGTATCCTTCTCTTATTCCTTCACTACCACCTCCTAAATATTCCAATGACACCAACCATCACCTCTAGGTAACAATCTAGTAGCTTATATTTCATTTCATTTGCAACCCTCTCATATTCAAATCTAGAACTCTAGTAAATAAGGTGGCCTGGTTAAAACATCTCAAAAATACGATCCAAAATTTTCGTTTTTAAATCATTATTAAAACCATAAATATCATCGCCATAGTATAAAATCATAAATCATGTGTCTCAAAATATCATAATATCTATCAACATATCAGAATCTTATATCAAATATCAGAGTAAATCTCCCAGACTAGAAAATTGTGGTGTGTGTCGTGCGATCATCCCGAGCTCTTCCATTTGCTAGCTGAAGTACCTAAAACCAAAATGAAAACTGTAAGCACGAAGCTTAGTGAGCTCCCACAAACTACCATATACCATACACATATATCATATAATAGATAACACAACTATGGGACACCGCCGAGCTGCATCAGGATGAACCTGACATCGGCTTACCCGACATCGGGCTCACCCCGGCATCAGACCACATCTAGCATCGAGCTTACCCCGACACATACACACAATATCATATATCATAAACACATAGCATATGCATATAACATACATTGGGCTTACCCCGACATCGAACCGAAGCCCGAAACACATAATATATATCATACAAACTAACATGCAACGGGCTTGCCCTGACATCGGGGTCACCCCGGAAGACATAACACATAACAAATACACTAACACACATCAGGCTTGCCCCGGAACACATAACACATAACACGCATGAATCAAAAAGACATCAAACATACATATACTCTTCTCGGGACCGCCCCATCATCAGACCGTATTCCGGAACTACTAACAACTAAATGGGCCGACTTTGTGGCCTTAGACCCGTTCCTACTAGACGAGGACTCACCTCTCAAACTGGATGCTAAACTCGTGCGTGACGAATCTCTGCTGACTGCTCCTACGACTCCCCGGCTAGCTCTATACAATATTACTTAGTCAGGAAACTGAAAATCCACCTAAGGGTAAAATGACCAAAGTCAACATTCTGGGTTAACCAACTCGCCGAGTCAACCTTCCACTCGCCGAGTTCTATAACTCAGAAATCTGGAATCGCGAGTCAACTCATCGAGTCGCTCCACTGACTCGTCGAGTCCTATCGAGTTGCTCAGCCGCGACTTGGATAATCCACTCATCGAGTCCCTCTACAGACTCGTCGAATTCTACTATAAACTGGAATCGGGAAAACACAACTCGACTCATCGAGTTCCCTCATGGACACGACGAGTCCTTCTGTGTGATTCGCTATCTTGATAGATTAACCCTTATTCTCTAGATCTATAGTCCATATTTCACTTGTTCACTGGGAGTGACCTTTCTAAGGGTAAAGTTTCCAACTTTACCCGCTGATAACCCATTTTGAAGGGTTTAGCTAAAACCCTAATTTCTTTAGGACATGGATCTTGTCCAAAAAGCCTTATAATCTCAAATCTACGCATGCAAACCTAGATCTAGGGCTTAACTATTAGATAACCACGAAAAGTCTCAAGCTTGCTTCCATGCATGGCCTTTTTGAGCTCAAAAGGCCATAAATACGTCTTATGCACTTGCATGAGGGCTCTAAGGACATAAAGTTTTCACCTTTATGTCTTCACATCCCCTCTAGGCACTAGATCTGGAAGAGTGTGACAACTTGGAATTTCTATCTTGTGCAGTTATTCAAATCAATCAAGGTCAGACTCGTTTTTGCTATCTTCTAGCATTGCTTAGAGTCAATTTGATTGTTCTAAGTCTAGTACCTTCAAACTTAGGGTTTAGAATTGGGTTCCACAAGTTCACCACTTCCTAAAATGGACAAACACTCCAACATAAGGAGTGTACGACCGTACACTTGGGTGTGCGGCTGTACACCCCCTCTAGCCATACACTCTCATGTATAAATGAGAGACTTAGCCTTCATTTACCTCTTTTCACACTCCTAAGCTAAGAAATCGACTTCTCTCTCAAGTATCATCTGATTTTTCATCTAGATCTTAAAGTTGTAAGTGTTTCTTCCCTTGTATTGTTGATTCCTTTCACTATCTTGTATGGATCATTGATTTCATCCATGAAATCACTTCATTTTGGTAGATCTTCAAGTGTTCTTCAAGAACACCAAGAACACCTACTAATTTCTTGGACCTCAAACACCCTTAAAGGTTTCTATATTGTAAGCACTCCTTCTTATGCTTGTTACTTACTAGATAGGATCCTTAGAAATCGTCCAAACCTTGATCATCAAAGAGTGTACGACCGTACACACCCCATGTGGTTGTACACCCCTTTGTTTAGTGCTTATTGGCTTCAAAATCATGTTCTACGCTAGCACATGATCAAGAACCCTTAGAGGATGCAAGATATAGCCTTGGAATACACTTTTTGACCTTTTGTTCAAGGAGTGTACGACCGTACACTCCATGGCCGTACACACCAGGCCATACACTCAAGTGGCCGTACACACACTTGTGTGGCCGTACACCCATTTTATGCAACCCGTTGTACTTCTAACACTTCAATCTAAGTGTTTTCTAAGTCCTAGGGTGTTTTCCTTTCATGATTAGTTGTATATACACTAATTATATATATATATATATGTGTGTGTGTGTGTCATTATATGCTTATTAGGATCCGTTGTGCTCAAGTCTTCACTTGACACTTAGCATCCTACAAACCGATCTTTCATTCGTATTACTCACTGCAGGTGAGTTCATTCCCCTTAAATTATCTTTTAAATGATTTTAAATGCTTTTATGGGGGGGGGGGGGATACAAGTAGAACCGTTATAGTTATTATATCAATCACATGTGATTAATAACTATGAACCAGACATATTTCATATACTTCAAACTGTGTTATCAAACAAATTGCTTCAAATAGTTTTACAACCTCTTTTATATGCAAAACTCCTTATTAAACTCTTTCAAACTTATATTTTGTCAAAATTATCTCTATATAGATATAGTTATATAAGTAGGATTGAAAAGACTTAGGACTGATAACTCGTCTTACTTCCTGTTCCTTGTTTGGTTGTGAACTTAGGGTATCGGTTGTTTGTCCGAAGGTCATTTGAGTCTTAGTTATATATTATGTGTATGTATATAGATATTAAATTTCTTAATTCAGTTCAATACCTTTGGGTAACAAAGGTATACAAACAGATTCATTCATA